AGAGTGAGACTCCAACTCAAAAAAAAAAAGAATAAAGAAAAGCGACAGGGATGGCACAGCCCTGCAAAGCCCAGGCCTTGGGCTGCGACTGGGAAGAGGCCGGCTTGGCCTGCTTGGATGCACCGCAAATTGTGGGACACCAAGTTCACCTGCACCGTCCTGTCCCCACCCCAACCCAGCCCCACACTGCAGGTGACAGAGGCGGCCACAGGCCCAAAGGCCACTTCCTGCCACTAAAACGGAGAAGGTGGCTTGAGTGCCCGGCACACAGTGGAATTTTTTTTTTTAAACCATAGCCGTGAGAGAAAGTTGTTATCTCACATGGAAAAGTCGCTCGTTCCTCCTGAGACTGGGTATTGCAGGTATTTCATCCAGTGTAAGACTCTGAAGGGGGCACCACGAGTTTACAAGCCACTGAGAAAGAAAAGACAGCAACAAGACAGACCACCAGCTGGGGCGCACACACAAACCCGGCCACCCAGGGGGCTGCCCCCAGGGTCAGGGGAGACGGGGAACAAACCCGCCTCACAGGAAGGGGACGCCAGGGCGGTCAAGGTCGAATCTCAGCACCGGGTGGAGGGGGGGCAAGTAAAAACTTTTCCCCAGGAACTGGAACCCCAGGCCGGAGCTCCCCAAGGCTGGCGGTCCAAATCGGCATGGCCCAAATCGCCAGACAGTACATGACCAGCCCCCATGGGAACTTTAAGGAAGCCCCTGGTGGGTGGGGTCCTGGTGGCCAGGAGAGGGGACAGAAGCCCAGGAAGAGGCAGATTGTAACAAGAACCCAAGGTCAGAGGCGGGATAATGTGGAAAACGAAATGCAGCCAAGTCAACAAAACGCGGCTCTCTGGCCCCGCGTCACCTGGGTCCACGTGCCGGGAACCCCCAGCATGGGGTGAACGGGAGGGGCCTGCCCTCTGGCCTTGCCTGGGTTGACAGGCGCATTTGCTGTTCTGTTCCCAAGGAGGCGAGGGTCTCAGGGGGCTACCCCGCCCCCCTGGGCCAGTGCCAGGAACGCGGTTTAGTCGCTGCGAGACCCAACTGCAACTTGAAAAGCAAGCACGTTCCGCGTGTCTGCTCGCTGCCAGCAAGCACGCCCGTGGCACTGAGCTGGCGAGTGTGCCGGCAGCTGCAAATTTAATACAGCTCCAAGATTCTGTTTACACAAACAAGCAGGCAGACGCCGGTGATGTGCTGGGCTTCCCGTGACTCCAATGACTCGGCACAGAGAGAGAATGCGTGCGGAACAATGGCTCATGAACAGTCAGCTTGGGAGCACACTTTTTTCTTCTCTTGGGACTAAAAACAACCTCTGGAATGTTCTTAGGCAGGCAAGGTCACAGCCTCTGAAGACAGCACTGATTCCTGCCTGCCAGGCCTGTGTGTGTGTGTTGTGGGACGCATACGTGCACGTGTATGTACATGTCCACACCACACCCTGACCCGTGAAAAGCAACACAAGGATCAGCCCAGAGGGAGGACTTCCCTCCCTTGGAAGCATCACTGCTCTCCGTGCCCTCGGAGGGAGAAGCAGGGACAGTGTCTGCAGGCCACCCCGGTCCTCCTGAGAGACTTGAGGACCTATGACGTGTCCATGGTCACCACAGGGGCTCCGTGGACCCTCATTTTAGCCGTTGGAGGCCCTGGTTACGTGACCCGCCAAAGGCCACACACACCGTAGAACCTGGATTCCAGCCCAGGGCATACAGCAGTGGTTCTCAAAGTGTGGTCCCCAGGCCCCCTGGAGGTATCACCTGGGAGCCTGCCAGAAATGCAGGTTCCTGGGCCACCCTCGACCTCGTGAATCAGAAACTCTGGGCCCAGCAGGCCACGTCTGAACGAGCGGCCCTACAGACCCGCCGAAGGCAGCCTCTGTTCTCACTGTCCACGGAACGACGGGCTGCTTCTTCACTGCAGGCTAAGACCCGCTGGCTCAAAAGCCAGCCAGCACCCAAGTCCAAGGCCTACACCTCCCGTCATGGCTGTAAACACAGCCCACATGAGCAGATGTTTGACCGCATAGAGCCTTTCTGCATTGGACGCCCCGCCAGGGTGCACCCAACACATTCTGGGCGGGGGGAGGGAAGGAGAGAAGGAAAGAAGATGGGAGGGAACGAGGGAGCCCAAGGAGCAGCCTGGCTGTGGACAGACACAACAACTCACTCATTGCCGTTGTGGGGGCTTGAGCCTGGTTGGAGGACTGGTGTCAGTCGCCAAGTGTCACCACGGAGAAACACGTAGTGGCACTTCCTAAGGGCCAGGCACCATGGCCAGGCACCGAGGGTCCTGCCTGGACGCCCACGTGGACTCTCACCTGGGGGCTGCACAGTGGGGGGTTCCCAACCAGCCAGTGGCTTAAACTGCAGGCGCCAGGGCCAGTGTGGACACTGGGTCCTGGGTCCCCGTCTCCCGCAGGTGCCGCCGAGCCGGGTTGTGCGGACCGCCTGTCCTTTCCTGATGGTCCTCCCATTCCGTGAGGAGGCTGCTTGGCCTTCTGAAAGGAGCGGGGACCGGGGCTCAAGCCAGCAGAAGCGCTTTGACTTTCACATGCAACCGTGCATGTGCTCTTCAAAACCAGTTCACAAAGGAGACACAGACGGCATGAACGATTCCATTTGACAGACGGGGAAAGTGAGCTCCAAGAGGCACCACAACCCGCCCAAGGCCACAGAGCCAGTTGGCATCAGGCCCAGAGCACAGCCTTGGCCTGGGGACTGCCCTGCCCAGGCCACGGTCACCCACCCTCCCGCAGATGCCAGCCACGACACCAGCCAGGGCCAAGAAGAAATCCCCGTGTGCAGCCGACTCCATGGAACAGGAGATTCAAGAACCCAAGCACGGGGTGGCTCGTGCCACCATGGGCTGGGGTTTGGTAGAAAAACAGGGTGTCCCCTTGGAATCATCAGTTTACCTTTGGCTTTTCCAGAAACAAGGAGCCCCTCCAGGCCCCAGGGAAGCCTCCTCCAAGGCACAGTGTGGAAGGTAAGACGTGGGCCGCGGAGTCAGAGGCCAGAGACCACCGAGAAGCTGGTGCCTTCCTCAAACAGGCCATTTCAACCTCGCCCTGCTGTCTCCACATATCCAAAGTTGGGTGGACGCCACCTCTCAGGGGTCAGCGGGAGGGTTACGTGAAATGCCCAACCACGACTTAGCGGTCCCTGGCACACACGGCAGGCAGCCATTACAGAGCATGTAGGGTAAGAGATCACGACTCATCATCGTTAAGATTGTTATTATTTTTCCTGCTGTTGTTGTTATTGCTTGGCCTGCAAACGCCTGGGGGTGGGGGACTCTGAACACGTCCCCACGCTGTAAGTAAAAACACCTGCTGGAACACACATGGCCCTCTCTCTCTTGTTCCCCACACGGTCCCCTTTGCCTGGACGGTCCAGGCTGCCCGGGATGGCCTTGGTTTACACAGGTCATCACTGTGTAATTATCACCAGCATCCTTGCCACGGCCCGGCGGGTCTTGGGATGAGGGGGTCCGAGGACTCCTCTCCATCATGTACCTGTCACAGCTGAGGACTCTGCCCACCCTGTAAGCCCCCCGCCACCTGGGGCTTCTTGAGAGCGAGGAGCCCAAGGCCCAGCACAGAGTAGCCCGGAGCTGATTCCCTGGAAATGCTCCTCAGTCCCAGAACCTTCCAGAAAGCCCACAAGCACCGCCCCAGCTCCACGGGCCCAGACCGACCGCCCAGGCGCCCTGCCCTCCAGCCGTGCGGAGCAGATGGCAGACACCGTACCTTCTGGAATCCAGCCGGCTCCCCTGGAGAACTCTGTGTCTGTTATTTTAGGGAAGGAGAGGAAAAGGGGGGAAAAAAATAAGTGAGTGAAACTCAAATCCCAGCAGAGCCTGTAATGGAATATTCATTTCGTCAGGGGAGTGTTTCTTAAAAACTTCTGGTCATCTGGACAGCCTGAGCCAGCAGGTGATTCGATTTAATGAGCTTTTTAACACACTCCGGGCCCAGCTGGGATCCTGTCTGGGAAGGCCTTGGCCACGGCCGGCTGGGGCCACGGCCCACCTGGCTGGGGCTGTGCTGACACCTGGCGGCCGTCGCGGCTACCTGGGACGGGGAACGCCAGGCGTGCCCAGGCCTGGTTGGTGCCTGAGGCCGAAAGGGCCCTTGGGGGCTCCCTCTCTGTTCTCCTCCTCCTCGGAGGGACCGAGGGAGGGAAACTGCCATGCCTCAGTTTCCGCCCATGCTCCCAATAAACAGTAACCGTACCGCCTGGATAAGGATGTTACAGGACACTACATTTAATAAAGGTTGTTATGATCAACTTAGCTATGGCTCTTCTGCGTCTAAGACATGAGGGCCCCAAAGGGAAGAAGGCGCTTCTCCCCTAAACCACACAGCAAGTCAGCGAAGTGGGCTAGACCCACACCTCCCTGCAGCACCGCCCACGTGCGAGGGTGTGCTTTGATGCTGGCTCTGCCACCCACTGGCTGTGCGGCCTTGGGCGAGTCTGTGAGCATCTGGGAGTCTCAGACCCCGCCATGGAGACTGGAGATCCAATTCCTCTAGCTGTAAAGGCTGAGTGGGATGCCAGCCATGGCTCTCAGCTTTGGTGGGCAGCGGGCGCTCCTTACACATCCCCTACGAGGTTACCGCCGCCTCACGGGGCTCCAGCCTCGGAGGTGGGGGCTGCAAGTGGCAAGCGCCCAGGACGCACGAGTCTCCCTGTCCTCTCTCTGAGGGGTCACCTCTGCCTGGCGTGTGCATGCACAGAGGCGATGCAGGCCCAGCAGCGTCTGCCCCGGCAGGCCTGGGCCCAGCCAGGGTCCCCTCCCTGGGCCTGAGCACATGGGCGCCTACCAGCAGGTGGCTGCCGTCCTTGAGCTTGGACTTGTACAGCATCCACCGATATCGCAGGTCCTCCAGCTCCTCCGAGGCACCCCATGCTGGCCCGAGACGAAGGAGGGTCTCGAACAGACGCTGACCTTCCGGGACCCGAGCCTCCAGCTCCTGGGGTGAAATGGCAGAGTCACGGCGCAGCCTCCAACGGCTCCGACAGCCCCCCAGGCTGGCGAGGACAGACAGATTCTCCTTGACGGACATGGGCGTGGGGGGCGCAGACAGAACCCACAAAGGGAGACTCCAGCTGTGGGTGCCAGCCAAGGTCACCGCCACTCTCTGGAACGCTAGAGAATGGCCTCTGTGGAGGGAGCAGGCGGGCTGTGGCCACTCACGGTCACTTCCAGTTCTGACATTCCAAGACCGAGACCTCCAGTGGGCTTGACATAGGGTCAGTGTCATTCTGGTGACTCAAAAAACCGTGTCTCCAGGCTGGGCATGGTGGCTCACGTCTGTCATCCCAGCACTTTGGGAGGCCGAGGCGAGAGGATTGCCTGAGCCCAGGGTTTCAAGACCAGTCTGGGTAACTTGGTGAGACCTTGGCTCTACAACAAATCAAAAATTAGGCCGGGTGTGGTGGCGTGCACCCGTAGTTCCAGCTACTTGGAAGGCTGAGGTGGAAGGATCACCTAAGCCCAGAAGGTCGAGGCTGCGGTGGCCGTGAGCGTGCCCCTGCGCTCCAGCCTGTGAGACGCTGACCAAAAAAAAAAGAAAAGAAAACGGTCCTTGAAGCCAAGCTGACTCTGCTGTGAGCCTTGCAAAGGAAGAGGTAGATACAGCAGGTCTTGTTTGCAGAATGAATTCAAGACCTACTTGTCTACCAACAGCAATGAAAAGAAGAAAAAATAAAATAAAAATAATTTTTAAAATGAAAATGAAAACATTAAAAATTTAAAAAGTAAATTTTTAAAAAAATATAAAAATTTTAATGTAAAATTAAAAATAGAGTTAGCATTATCATAAAAGCTATCATGGTTGAACACGTCTTTCTACTGTCATCCTTGAGCCTGGCCGAATTGTGTTGGAATGGGCAGATGTTTCTATCAAACTACAGAGGGTGCCAAAAAACGTACACACATTTTAAGAAAGGAATAAAAAACCGATATTACAACTGTAATCCTCAGTAGGACAAATATGAGTCAGGTTTGACTTCTGCCGTGACAAGAGGTGCTCAAAGCGGTTCCCATCAGCATCCAGACGCCTTCTGGTGACGGCGAACACCTCTTCACGCCTCTTAAAAGGTGGCACCCCAGAATAATCCCATGCTTCCCTAGGGTGGCACCTTTCATCCTCAGGACCGCTGACAGGCAGGGGGGTTGGGCTCTACATCCAGCAGCCTGGCTTTAAATCCTGGCCCTGCCTCATCCTACCAGCTGTGCAGTACGGGGCCGTTTGCTCAGCTTCTCAGCGCCCGCTAGGATGCGTGCTGTTCAAAAGGAATTGAAAGCCATTTCTCACAGGGCTGGAGGGGCTGTTGGTTGTGGGCGGACGTCAGAGCACGAAGAAGGGGACAGCAGAGGCAGGCAGGGTGGGCTTCCTGGCAATGGTCAGTAAGATAATGGAGACCAAACCTCTCACTGAGGGCAACGTAGTAAGAATATTCTGCCAGGTGCAGTGGCTCACGCCTGTCATCCCAGCATGGGAGGCCGAGGCGAGAGGACTGCCTGAGCCCACGGGTTGGAGACCAGCCTGGGCATCTTGACGAGACCTCGTCTCTACAATAAAAAAAAAAAAAAAAAGCCAGGCACGGTGGCGTGTGCCTATAGTTCCAGTTACTTGGAAGGCTGAGGCGGGAGGATCACCTGAGCCCAGCAGGTCGAGGCGGCGGTGGCCGGGAATGTGCCACTGCCCTCCAGCCTGGGTGACAAACAGAGACTCCAACTCAAAAAAAAAAGAATATTTTTAAGGCCAGGTGTGGTGGCTCACCCCTGTCATCCTAGCACTTGAGGAGACCAAAGTGAGAGAATGGTTTGAGCCCAGGAGTTCAAGACCCTTCTGGGCAACACAGCAGGACCTTGTCTCTGTTTCTAAAAATGGAGAAATTAGCCAGGCATGGTGGCACATGCCTGCAGTCCCAGCTGCTGGGGAGACAGCAGGAGGGCCGCCTGAGCCCAGGAGGTCGAGGCTTTGGTGAGTTGTGATTGTGCCACTGCACTACAGCCTGGGGGAGAGTGAGACCCCGACTCACCTACAGACATAAAGTTGCAAAGCATGAAGTGCTAACCAAAGAGTGAGGCACGTTAGGGTGAAACTCAAGAAAGCATGAGAACCCAGAGAAATCATTGTTTTCGGACTTGCTTTTTTTTTTGAGTTGGAGTCTCACTCTGTCGCCCAGACTGGAGGGCAGTGGCCGCTCCCGGCCACCGCAGCCCCGGCCTGCTGGGCTCCGGCGATCCTTCCGCCTCAGCCTTCCGAGTAGCCCTGA